TCCACCTCCCCCGTGGTTCCCCTTCTTATTGGGACCTTGGGGGCCATGGCTCTCCCACTTTCTTTTCTTGGCCTCTTCGGCATCTCTCCTCTTCCTCTCCTCCCATTGCTTTTCTCCCTTCAACCCTTGGGCAACCACTTGGCTGAAAGTCATATTGGGCAATTGAGTTGCCCTGTCACGTATCTCCAAGTCCAAGGCCTCCCAAAAGTGATTCACCATTCGGTTTTCATCACAAGCATACTCCGGTATGTGATCAGCAAGGTCTCTGAACTTGTTCTCAAGTTCTTTCACCGTCATGTTACCGCCTTGGGTTAGGAGAGTGTATTCCCTCACCTTGGCGTTTACTTCAAAGTCAGAGTAGTACTGGGCAAAGAATTCTTGTCGGAAATCCTCCCATGTAACAGTTCCGCCATACTTACCCTTGGTTCCATCCCACCATTTGGATGCCAACCCTTCGAGTAACCTTACCGCGATTCTCAGTTTAAAATCGGGGGTGAGCTGCATGTCAAGGGCTGCCTCGTTCAGCCTCTTGATCCACTGGGCGGACCCCGAGATGTCTCCCATCCCGTCGAACGGTTTGCACCCTAAGTCCCTCGCCTCCTTGATGTATTTGGAGATCCTTATGACTGGACCTCCATCGCCCCGACTCCCATGCGCTTCTACATGGGTTCTCGAATCACAAAAACTCCTCCCTCTTGGAGCCCCGCCCGAAGGTTGCCCTGCACGGTGCCTTCGGCGTTCCCTCCTTTCTTCGCGCTCCCGATGATACTGTTGGAGCAGCGCTTCGATTCTGGCCAAGGAGCCACTTTCCTCTTCATCACTCACATCGTCATCATTCTCTTCGTAAGGGGTCTCAACTGGCTCAGTCCCCGGCTGGTAAGTTGAGTCCTCATAGGACCAATAGGTCTCACTCTCGGTATCAACGTGGCCATCGCTCACGGTTTGACGTTGGCCTCCACGACCCCTTCCTCTTGATCCCCTAGAGGACCCCCGGCTACCGCGCTCGGACCCACCCGGTGCACGGCCCAACGGGTTCCTCCTAGTGATCCTTCCGATTGGTTCCATTTCTGAAAGAAATTAGAATGAGTCGTTAGACTCGTATCGAGTGTCAAATGACGGACGGGTACTTAAAGACATCCTTCGGCTCAAATCACCGCCATACCAATTGTTAAGGGTACCATCTTAACAATTAGAGGCATTGCGACTCAAGTACCAAAAGTTCTATAAGTACAAAACTTATGCTCATGGTTTTTCAAATTCATTTTCAAAAAGAAATTTTGAAGCTTCATTATGATGTTTACGGACTAAGGCTCTGATACCATTTAAATTGTCACGCCCCGGACCTACCCGGACACGTCAACAACCCGCCGTACAGTACGAATAGTCAACCGCAGTCCGACTCATCCATACTATACAAGGCGTCTTGAATACCATTCACACATAGTACATCCATAAACAAACATAATGTAAAACATTTATTAAAACAACGGAAACAATTGATACAAGTGTTCAAGCCACACTTGGCATAATTAGGCATGCAAGCCCCCAAAGTAATTATTCAGAAAATATTATCCATGAGCATTATTCATATTGTTTTTCAAAACAAGAACGGGAGAAGCACGAACCAAGTCTTCTCCTCAGAAACTTCCCGAAGCAGCGGCTGGTGGTAGCAACCTTCAAGTTCTACCTGAAACTGTGAGGTGGCCTCCCCCGTGAAGGGGAGGTCAGTACTTGGAAGCATTTGACAAGTACAATGACAACTATACTAAGTATAATCAAAGTTTAAATCCCTGAGGCCCTCAAACTAGAGCATTATTACATTATAGTTAATCCGTTCATTTAATATCAATTCATCATTATTTACCACGGTCTAGAACCCAGCTCATAATCACCGTTATCTACTACGGTCTAGAGCCTAGCTCATAATCACCGTCATCTACTACGGTCTAGAGCCCAGCTCATAATCACCGTCATCAACTACGGTCTAGAGCCCGGCTCATAATCACCGATTCCTTAAAATTCAAATTCTTAGGATCTAATTCATCCATTTCTCAACTAACATTTCCAACTAACATTTCAATGCTAGTTATTTATTTATTTCAATATAATTCTTTCTTCTTGCATCATTGGCCTTAATATCAAGTATCACTTTCATACCCTCATAGCTTCTCCTCATGGCATCAAAGTATACTATCTCAAATGATATTCATGGTTAGTACAACCATCATACACACATATTCACAACATCTAAACATACACAATTTATTCATAAATTTGTGTATCATGCATACTATACTTATAATCAATAGTAGTTTCATTTAGGCATTATTAACCATTAACAACTCATACGCATCACATTTGTATTCACTTAGGAAATCCCATGAAATTAACCCAAAGATTATAGGTAACATAGTCGGTCATCCTCACCTTAATTAAGCTTAAGCGCGTTCTACGTTTCTCGATTGAACTTTGACCAACTCCGGCGAACTTTGACCAACTCCGGCGAACTTTGACCAATTCCGACGAAACTCCGGCGAATCTCAAAAATACTTTAAATCAAGTTCCTAACAAGGTTTTATCATCACAAAACCCATATCAACATAAATAACCTATAAAAGGTTATTTTCCGGCAAACCGGTCGATTTGGCTTCTAAGTCCGTTTTTGGACTTAGCATCACATTCCAACCCATTATTCCACACTTAAATCATGTAGAACAATACTAAGGGTCTTTCATATGATATATATCTTATATGCTAGAAGAAAAACAAAGGAAAAGTTATGATAAGGTCATTACCTTAATTTTCACACTTTTTCCTAGCTTTTTCCTTCTTAAACCTTCTTCTTGGACTCCCTTGAGCTTGAGTTCGGATTTGGGGATATGGAGATGAAGTTGTAGAGGTTCTTTCCTCCTTTCCCTTGCTGCTGGCCGAACTAGTGAGGAGGGGGATGGGTAGGAATGCCTCTTTGTCTCCTTTTGGGCAATGCGTGAAAGGGAGGAGGGCCACCATGATTCGTTTTGATGCCAAACATCTCAAATCAGTCCTCTCCCACCTCATATCTCTTACCAGCCTGCTAAGGCCCTGAATGATGAGGCTAAAATCGTGGGTTGGCCCCCACCCATGTGGGAGGTCAACCCTTTTTATCCAGAAGTGTACAATCGGTCCCGAAAGTTGTATTTTTCCGGACTGTTTTAAGTATATTTTATTTTATCGGGTCAAATAAAATATAACACTTGTTCCCAATTCTTAACGGACCTTAGAATCAATATGCATCCCTCAACTTTAATTTACAAGTCTCCGAAATCCCTTTTCGGGCTGTTATCCGATAGATTGCCGATACTGATAATTTGGCCCCGTTTGACCAACCGGTCAACCCTATGCCATTGTCATGGCTCAACTAGGATATCCACCACCATATACATATTATCTAGTCCAAGATCAATATAATATGTGGCCCCGATAATATCGGGCGGTCCCCACTCCCGATGTGGGCCCCACGTGCATTTTACTATTCACGCGAAAAAAATTAATACAAATTCACAACTTCGTAAATTCACTAAATATTTCATAGGGTTCAATAAATTATTAGCTCAAAGATAAATACATTTGGGGACGGTGTTACACCCTGAAGGGAGATAGAATAGCCAATCCTTAGCTGTGTCTTTTAGGGAGAATGGAAAAGCCCTCAACTTGATTTGTTCCTCGGTGACTCCATTCGGGCACATGCTTGTGCAGACAATATGGAATTCCGAGAGATGTTTGTTTGGGTCCTCGCCCCTTAGGCCATGGAAAGATGGCAGCAGATGAATGAGCCCAGATTTTAGCTCAAACGTATTACCCTCATCAAGTGTAGGGAAGGTAATACACAGTGGTTGTTGGTTGAGGTTTGGAGCTGTGAGCTCCCTCAGCGTTCTTGTTTCAAGAGCCATTGTGGATGGTTCTTCGGTGTCGCTACAACTAGAGCTAGCGGTGTATGAGTCTCCGGTAGATGATTCTTCCGAGTCGGTATTAGAAAATTTACTTTTCAACCTCTCGAAAGTTTGTTCTATTTCTGGGTTTTTGTGATATGTGATTTCGTTTATGGAACGATGTTTAACCATAAACTCCTCTAAGCTCAGAAATAGAAGTAAGAACTCTTTATATTTTGTTTGATAAATATTTTTTTGATTTTTCATGATATGAAATAAAAGAAAAATTAATTGCCTTTCCCCGGCAACGGCGCCAAATTTGACGTGCACTTGTCGTTAGGTGCACTCAAAATAATTAATCAATAGAACACTAATACGTAGTATAGTGTAGTAAGGTTCGTATCCACAGGGAAAGGAATACTTTTCTTTTATATAAATAGTAACAAGGGGGGTTTAGATTTGTTTGGTTTAAAAACACTAAGATAAACAACCTATATGAGTTTAATTAAATGAGATGAGGACTTGGTTTTGCTTTTATCCACTTAATGAAATGTTCGTCGATCCTGGTTATATCTTTAACTATCTTCCTCTCGAATACTCAATCGAGGAGTATATCCAGTTCATCGAGGGTAGTTATTAATAACGAGATGCGTTCATTAATAAAACTTACTATCGAGTCAATATAGAACAAGCGTCGTATATTAACTTGATAGTAGCAATAAACTTAAGATGAAAACGATTGAGATTGATAACCTCAACACAAGCGGTTTATTGGTTTAATCAATATAATTAATTCCACTTGGCATATTAACCATGAGATGCATGCATTAATATTCCAAGTTTACTACCGTTGAAAGAACCGGATTAATAACAAGCGTATTAACCGATCGATTCTAGTAATAATTAATATGAGAAACAATACTAGTTGATACTTTAAGTAATGTTTAAGATATTAACATGAAATATGAATAGGAATTAATTAATACTCAAGGAAGAATATTAAAGAATATGAATCATACTATGATTAATATCAAGATGTTAACTAATTGTCATCTTAGTAACACTCCCCGATATTAACATAGAGGAAGAAATAGTTATTACTATGACCAATGTCAAGATGTTAACTAATTGTCATCTTAGTAACACTCCCCAACTTTGATATAGAAATAGTATTTTAAAGGAAGAATTAATATTCAAGGAACAAGATTAAAGAAAATAACTCACAACTTATAAATTCATTAAGCTTCAAAGTAGCAAAACCAAGATGGAAGAGTTTAGCTCCTCATTTGGAGACTAAACATGATGAAAAATATAAAGAAAGAACTATTCTATACTGAGCTTAGATGTACAAAGGAATTGGATATCTTTTTGTGAAGGAAAGGAGGTGTATTTATAGGCTTTTGGGATGGGATTCGGGTACTCGATCGGGTATATACATGGTACCCGATCGAGTATGTGTGTAATACTCGATCCGAGGTATACTCGACCGGTTTCAGGCTGTTTTCCATAAGTATACCCGATCGAGTATATATTAATATCCGGTCGAGTATGCTTAGAAAATGGTATTCGGACCATACTCGACCGATCTTCGTTTAAAACTCAAAGGCATACCCGATCGGGTATGTCGGTCTACCCGATCGGGTATAGACATTAAATCGTGGCTGAAATCTTCCCGGCATGTTCCCTTGTCTTCGGATCTGATCCGATTTGAAGTTCCAACCTAATACCCGATCGAGTATAGTTAATACTCGACCGAGTATAGACCAAAATTCAGGATCTTCTTTTGTCTTCAAATTTTTGCACCTTCTTTCCACTCTTTGGGTTCACCAACTATACTTCGAGTGATCAAGACCTGTTTGAGCTCAGAATATATCTAATCTAACCTATTTACAAGAATTTAACAAACTAATCTATTACACCAAAAGTGTGTAATTTCCATAGTAAAGATCAAGCAAAACTAATTAAAAACACAAACATAAATATGGAAATTACAAACGTATCAACTCCCCCACACTTAAACCTTTACTCGTCTCGAGTAAGATCAAATGTTCACAAGTGTCAAGTTTCTCCAAAATTTCCACAGTTCAACAAAAACAACATACAAACACAAAGACCACCAAGGATGACAAAGAAAAAATGAGTTTTAAACTCAAATTACAAAGAACATCTTGGGTTTAATGGCCTTCTAGTGTTATCTTCTCTTCTCCTCCTCTCTTCTTCTTTGTCTTTGATATCTGAATCTTCTTATTTTTCACAGAGATACAATGAGTGCCTGCAAAAACAAACATTTCTCTCATATCTCTCATTTTGCCTAGGAGCCTTTTCAGGTTTTCATCCTAGCATCTCTTTTCATTTTCCATTCTCCCCAACTCACTCATTTTTTTTATAAGCCCTTTTTGCTTAGATCGCCCATTTTGTTGGGTTTTCAACCTAACTTGCATTTATTTTCTTTTATTTTTTTTTTGTGTAACAGTTCAAAAGAATTACATGCATAGTGCTAGGTGGGAATAAAAATTACATACCATCATGAGTGTCTCCCCCGCACTTGAATCAAGCACTGTCCCTAGTGCCCGCCTTCTCCACCGTAGTAGCTCCCTCCGAAGCCGCTCCCTTGGCCACCATCTCCCATATACGTGTCCCCACCATCTCCGCCGTCGTACCCTCCACCCCCGGAGCCAGATCCTCCAAAGTTACCCCAATGAGTGGGGTCATACCACGAGGGTGGTGGAGGGGGGTTCGCCATGGTATGGAAGGATCCCTGTTGTGCTATGTAAGAGTACATAGGTCCGTAGAACCTACATTGGTCTTCCTCATACCGATGTCTATCGGCTTCCCTGAGCTCCTCCAATCGCTGAAAACCGGCTCTTTGCTCCTCCTCTAATCGGTTGAGCCGGTTGTCCATTTGGGCGTATCCCGTAAGCAGTTGTTGTTGACCCTCCAGAAGTTGTTGAAAGAAGTCGGGTGGTGGAGGGTTTTGACTTTGTCCGGGGATGTCCTGGCCCATGTTTTGATGGCTATGGAGTTGAGCATAGGGCTCGTAATCGGGTTGGTGTTGGGGAGGTTCTTGTTCCGGTTCCTGGAGATGTGGTGGAAGGGCGTGTGGGAAGAGGTAATGTTGCTCCTCTCTTGCTGTTTTGTAGTGGAGTTGGGGGAGTTCTGGGTTGGGCAGGAGGAAGTATTTGAGGGGTTTGGGGTGGATGAGCCAGTTGTACATATTCCTGGGTCTTTCTTCACCATAAACTGTGTGTGAAAAAGATGTACAGCCCGAGTGACCCAGCCAAGAAATGTTCATCAAACAGTAATCGGGTATAGGAGAGTTATCCATATACCCGAACTTGGTGGCCAAGTGCATAATCACCCCACCCACCACAATAGCACCCTTTGCTACGCTTTCTTTTTTCAGATGTGGCCACATAAGATTACACAGGTTGAAATCCACGTGAACACGGATTAGGGCTACCGACATTAGGCATACATCCCCCATCCTAGTGTGATGGTTGTTGGGATGTCCAAGCAAGGAGTTGGCAAGGAATTTCAAAAATAGGCGGAGGACGGGATGTTGGACATGACTAATATAGAGTTGGGAGGAGCTAAATTTAGTCTCCCCGGTCATCTTTGTCCATAGGGTATGGCCGAAAGCGGTATTGTCGGATATAGATTTTTGGTAAGGGACCGGAATACCAAAGTGTTCGGCGAACTCAAGTTTCGTGATGGAGTGGTTGTGGTTAAACAAGCGAAACTTGAGTTTATCATCCCTAAAATCTTCTTCACCGTTCTCAAATTGTACTGAGCTTATGAATTCATAGATAATTTTTTCATTTGAGTGATATTGCATTTTGAATATCTTATCCATGCTCAACTCATGAAAAAAATTCTTAGTCATTTTGTACACTCCTAATTCATTTAGGGCATCATGGCATAAAAAGCGAGAGGGTTTAACTTGCCTTTCAATGGTGGACATGAAGCGGGTGCGGTGTTCGTTGTCCATGAAGATGATGTCCTCGTAGCCCGAGATGGATGCCTAGTGTTGGAGCTTTGTCCTTTCTCCTTCCTTGGAGCCATTTTTGAGTGAATTTGGGCTTGAAATCCGAAATTTGAAGGTGGGGGTAGGGTTTTTTCGGACCTCTGAAAACTGTGGGAGAATTGGATTGGTGAGTATGAGTGTGTAGAGGAGGATGAGGGGAGTGTTTTGGTGTTGAAATGGAATGATTTGGCGAAGAAATGGAGGAGATATGGTAGAGAGAAGATGTAAGAATGGAGGTTGGGGGCGTTTTGTTCGAATTTGGGTTGGGGATTTTGGGGAAGATGAAGTGTTTGGGGCTGATTTGGGGTTATAATGCCCGTATACCCGATCGAGTATGTGCTGTTACTCGGTCGGGTATGTCTGGAAAGTGGGGTTTTTGAGCAGCCTGCCTCCGGTACTCGATCGGGTATGTGTTGTTACCCGGTCGAGTATTGCTGGAAAATGAAGTTTGTGAGTGGTCTGCCTCCGGTACCCGGTCGGGTATCATTCCATACTCGATCGGGTATGTGTTTTTTTTCTACGTTTTGAGGCATGTATTCGATCGAGTGTGGGAATCAGTTTCCTTCAACTTTAGCATCTCTGTACATACCCGACCGGGTGTATAGTGATACCCGATCGGGTATCCCTTGTTTTTCAATTTTCGAGCCCTGTACTCGACCGAATATGGGCATCCGTTTCCCTGGTACTTCGACTTTCTGTACATACTCGACCGGGTTCATAGTGATACCCGATCGAGTATGTCTATTTTCTTTCAAAAATCCATGCTTCCTCGATCGAGTAATGCCCGGTTCCCCTTCTTTTGGCCATACCCGACCAAGTATAAGGTGGTACTCGATCGGGTACGTCCCCAGATGCTCCAAAACCTGCATTTTTTTATTCTTTTCCTCCACAAACCTGTGATTAGTTCCCTCTCTCACTGATCTCTCACCGAAGGGTACCCACGTACCGAAGGCTAGACGATATCCAAACGCTTAGAAAAATTTTCAAGTCCTAAGCACCTTGCCTCCAGTTACCTCATGAAGGCTACACAGAACCAGAGGGAAGGAATTAGCCGGGGGGCCAACAGATGAACAACACTTAGAAAATATTTCTAAGTCCTGAACGTTGGGCCCTCGGTGAAATGCTCAGATAACTAAATGGGCCTAGTAGTCGAGGGGTGCAGGAGACACCGTACTTAGAGAGATATTTTCTAAGTCCTAACATGCATTCATCCACAGAGAAAAAACGAAGACATACATAAAAAAAACGAAGCCATACATCCAAAGAAAAACAATCAAAGGAAACGAATTATATGCAAAAGCCCAAAGGCAGGTATTCATTCATCGAAGGGGAGAAAAAGTTGAAGTGTATATTACAAAAGGGCCGAAGCCAAAAGTACAACAGCATGATCACAAAGTGGTGGGGAATACATTTTACAAGAGGGGAGCTATAACATCGCCCCCTTCGGTAGCTTTGGAGGTAGCCTCGCCTTCGGCCTCATCCCCGTCACCACCAAGGCCACACTCCCGCAGGGTCTCCGAATCTTAGAGCACTGGTCTCTCTTCGCCTTCGGGAAGCGGAATCCTGACGTCTCGCTGCCGAGGGGGGAGGCCATAAGCCTCGGGCTGGAACTCCTCCGGCGAAAGCTTGAAATGCCTGGCAAGCTTTCGGTATATAAGGCGCTGGGTAAAAAACTCCCCACCCTGATAGTAGGAGTCGCCCTTCTTAGCAAGCCACATCTTGTCGGTGCCTCCAACCCAGTCATCCACTGAAGCCCCCACCACCGAGGAGAGCCACTCTTTCTGTTCTTCGGGTTTCTACCCCTCGGCAGTAAAGCCAGCTATAGCATCCTCCCGGGCCCTGGAGACGGCCTCTTCCTTAGCCACGTGGGCTTTCCTCAGCAGCGAAGCGGGTGGCCTCGGCAGCAGCCTCCCCGGCCTTAGCCAGGCCCTTGTTCATCCCCTCGGCCCTCGCGGCTTGCACCCGCTGCTCCATGCTATCGGTGGCCAAGTGGAGAGAGTCCTCAGCCTCGGCCAGCTTCTTCCTAAGGAGGGCAGCCTCCCCTTCGGCTGCACCCTTCGCCTCCTTCATCTGTTCCACCCTTCGAAGGTGCTCACAGAGGCCCATGAAGCTCTACAGTCCACAAGGGTGATGGTTAGATATGATAAACACAGTACGCAAGAGCAAAAACAAACACAGAGGAAAAAGATAGGCGTGACTTAAGGAGGCAGTGTTCAGGAGGATCTTGGCCTCGAGGGAGCTCTCGTCCAGTCTGGCGAGGGCCAAGCGATCAGCCGAGGGTAGCATCTGGCTCATCAGCGCTGACGGGTTTAGGCTACCCTCCAGTACAGAAGCCCCCTTCGGCACTATCGCCTCCAGCTTCTCCCGACTGAAGAACTCCTGGTTGATGTGCTCCTGAGGGGTGGGGACAGAGGTGTGCCCCTCGTCCACATAAACAACCACATCAGTGGTCGGCTGCTTGGCGGGGGCGGTGGCTTTTAACTTCTTGGCTGGGGGCTCGACCCCCTTGCCATTATTCTTTTTCTTAAAGGGCCCGACACCCTTGGACCCTCCGGCGCCAGCACCGGCAGTAGCGGCTTGGGAGGGCTCCTCCCTGGCAGAAGTGCCCACCGGGCCCTTCTTCTTCCCCTTAGCATTCTTCAAAGCAAAAAGAGAGCTGACGTCCATAGTGCTACCTGCAAAAATAAGACACAAAGTGGTTAAACCGAAGGGTGTTCGTTACAATGGCATAGAGTAAAAAAAACACGAAGGGATGCTATCAAGGTACAAAACGCATGACCCTTCGATAATCACCTCTGGCTCCTTCGAAGACACGATCCAACAGAGGATATCTTTCATCTGTTGAGCCCCTCGGCCTAAACTGCCGAAAGCCAAGACTAAACAGTTCCTCGGGGAGAGTGACGTCCTTGATTTTAACGTGCTTATCAGACCCCTCCGGTTTTTTGGCGAGTATTCTGCCATTCTTCTCCAAGGCCGCGCTCCCTACCTTCGGGTGGCGCCGGAAGCTGTTGCGGAGCTGAGCCGGGAAGGGGTTCTCCTCCAAACGTATGTAGCAAAACCACTCCTTCCACCCCTTGTGGGACGAAGGCACATCGTCGAAGAGCCTAAACTCCGGTACTTGCTGAAGGTTGGCGAAGCCCTCAGCGTTTGAATGACCTCCCCGGCACAGATTGAAGGACATGAAGAACTGGTCGAGGGTAGGTGGAACCCCCCGGCTCCGGCACAAAGAGAGATAGCCGGCCACGTAAGAGTGGCTATTGGGCGTTAGCTGGCAGGGGGCCAGCCCCACGAATCTCAAGTATTCCAGCAGAAAGGGGTGGAGCGGAAAGCGAAGCCCCATCTCCACCGACAGGGTCTGAACAGTGAAGCACCCTTCGGGCGCGTATCGCAACCAGTCGTCTGCCCCTGGTTCCACCACGCGTGCCGAAGGGCCAACTAGGATTTGAGTGGCATGGTATTCTGCCGGGGACGCCCTAGTTTTCAGCTCTAGGGCAGCGATGTTCAGGAACGAATGGCCCTCGGGTATGCCTACCGGCCGCCCGGCATCTTCGGCCGCTTGTTTTTTCTTCGGAGCTGCCCTCGTCTTCTTCTTTTTCCCGGGAGCCACACTGATGGGCGTCGGGTTCAAGGGCCGAGAGGTGCTGGATATCCCGGCACCGCGAGGGGGGAGGATAGCAACCGTCACCTTCATCCTCTCCTTCTCCTCTTCCTCTTCAGCAGTTTGCACGGCAAGGGCGAGCTCTTCGTCCTCGTTCACCTGCTCGAAGTCTTCGGCTTTGACCTCGGCCCTGAGGTCCTTCTCCACCTCCATGGCCACAGTAGCATCATCACCCACCAAAGACTCCTCGCTCGAAGGCTCGACGTCGGAGTATGTCTCCATCTCAACTGAAGGCTCCCCCGAAATATCTTGGGAATCACTTTGCGAGGACATTTCGTACTAAATAAAGGGTCGAAGGGAGGTCCTAAAAGCTCTAAGCTACGGGCACTTAATCTAAGGCCGGAAAGTGATGGGGAAGTGAAGTATGCAAGAATGAGCGAAAGTGGGGCAAGAACTGACCTTGAAAGCTGGGGATTCAACCGAAGGCTGGAGTTTCTCTCTCTAGGAATTTTGGCAGAGCTTCGCTAACAAATGATCGCACAAGGGAAGTGATGCCCGGCCATGGGGTATTTATAGGCGTCCAGATCCGGGCTTGGGCCCAAAAACCGGGCCTCCGGTCACAAAATCATCATTACGAGCCGTGGTTTCGCCCAATCGGTAACGCCGCCCGCGGGCAGCCAACCGTCGCGCGCCACGTGTCCCCCCCCCCAACGGCTATATTTTGACGTTAGGTATTCCAACGGCTATATTTACAATGGTCATATTCTGGGAGCTCCCGGCTATGTTCAGCAGACCACTCCTTCACCAACCAAATCTAGGCCCCGGGCTTTCTACTTCACTCCACTTCATCAAGAGGAGCCCCCGGGTGCACTTACCCAGAGAGGCTCCCGGTTTATGTCCCTCATACAGCTTAACGAATGCCTTCGGGCTCACTCCTTCAGAAGCCCACGACTTCACAACTGACAGACCCCTCGGGGATTCCCCCCTTAACACCTCGAGGACCAGGTAGCCCCTGGGGAGTACACCTCATTGACAGATAGCCTACGGCACACAGGTAACGACAGCCCTCAGATATCCTCCTCACCAACTGACCAACAAACAGGGGACCCCCCTGGTAACACTTCAACTACTACTCACATTCATCATGCCCTCGATCCCCAAATTGAGGGACTCCCCTTCGGCACCTCCCAGGATATCAACAGTAAGCCTCCGGCTAATCAACACACACGCCCCCAGAACAAGGATAGCCTTCGGCATCAGCATTGTACTCCATTCCAAACCAGGGCTTCACATTTTCGATTCATCGTTGGGGGAATCCGGTGCACTCTTTTTCCCTCATTAGGATTTTTTCCCACAGGGTTTTTCCTAAATGAAGTTTTTAACGAGGCATCCCCCCAAAATGAAACGAAAAGCGTCAACCTTCGACCCAATACAGCAACATGATTACTCTACTCCTTTTCACCACTTTGCAAGTGCCTCAAGGAGTGGAGGACTGGAGAACCCCCTCGGGACAAATAAAAAAAGTGCAAAATGCTAAAAAAAACTCCCGCAAACAGCAAACATGACCCCTCAAGTCCCGACATGTGGGTAACTGAGGGACTGCCCTCGGCAGAATAAACAAACAGCAAACTACCCACAACTCTACAAACTACAACGGAACAACGGCAGAGGGCAAACACAATTACTCCTTTTACCTCAAGTACCTTTCGGCAAAAGGAGTGAGGGACTCCTGATGGAGTATATGGCCCGGGAACCCTCGGTCCACAGACTCCTACTACTCCAATAAAGGCCCAATAGGCCCAGGAAGCACAACAGGCCCAAATCACAGCGCCCAGAGTACCAAGCGGTCCACAGTGCGCACCAGGAGTGCCTTCGGCCCCCTGGCCGAAAGCTCCAATTCTTACAGGATGGCCAAATCAGGAAAACAAAGTTACTGGGAGAAAACGGCGAAAATCAGTAGCCCTCGGCACCTAGAGCCCTCGGCACTAAGGGGGTCCCCGGTACTCAGAGCCCTCGGCTAGTCATCTACAGCCGAGGGCACCTTTTCCGACATGATATCCACTCCACATGCGCATGGATCACCGTACCAAGTACGACGTCACATCCAACAGCCGCATTAAATGCGGCCACATGCGATTGCCAGCGCCAACCAGTTGAGGTGACCCCTCGGCCAATGGATGCTTGACACGTGTCCCTGTCTGGCCATTATTACTACTATAAATAGCACCCCTTTCCCCCATTGTAGACCACACTTAGTAGATATCGAATACATACACTCTCTCTAACTTATTTGCTCTGACTTCTCTCTAGTTATTCCCCATAATAACCCCTCGGATAAGCTACACCCCGGGTACACTATCCATCAATTTCGTGTAAAAGAATGATATATTTAATTAATGGATGATTAATTAAATTATTTATCTGGTCCATAATATTGAGAGTGGGCTACTAAATATTTAGTTGGGTCCTCATAATAATTATGGAAGTCCAATAAAATGCCAATCAAAGTTGGGAAAAATGTCTGGACAACTCAAGTGCTATTTTGACCCAACCTGCCAGAAATAGCAATAATAATCGGGGGAAACTTCCTACACCCAATTGGGACTTTTCCTACATGTGTTGTACACCCAAATTAATGGGAATGAGACAACCAAGCATGTCTTGGCCGGACATGTGATTGAGGGAGTGATTGGAGGTACATGCACACTCATTTAGGGCCATGTCTTAGCATTATTTGCTATTTGATTGAGTAAGGTGCCTCCCCCCTTTCATTTCTCATCCATACGACCAAGGGAGAGAGTGGAGCTCTAGAGAAAAAGCTCTCACCAACAAAAAGCTTGAGGAGGCTAAAGGGAAGGAAATCCAAGAAGAAACTAGCTAGAAGAAAGGTAAGAACTCAACCATTTCTTTAGCTCGTATTAGTTTTGGTATAATTTTTAAGAAATCATATGGTGGATTAAAATGAGATTCTACACGTTTAAAAGTGTAGAATATTGATATAAAGTGGTGGTAATTAACTTAGGAGGGTTGGCAAATCGATAGGAGTCGAAATCGCCGGAAACCGCCACTTCAAAGGAGCTATTCGTAGTTGCAGACTACGAAAGCCGCCCGGCTTTCGTGAAAGCCGCCCGGCTTTTGCCCAGAAATCCAGTTTTCCACTTTCAATCGGCCTAGAACGGGGATTGATCGAGGGGCTTAACAAAGGCAACTATTGTAGCACATCACGAGGTGAGGATGGCTGACTATATTGCTTATAATTGTTGGGTTAATTTCATAAGATTACCTAAAGCATTAAAAGTGATTTTCATGGATTATTAATGAGTAATAATGCTTAATGAAAATACTATTGATATGAGTGAATGAAGCATGATATACAAATTTAGAATAAATTGTGTATGATTATGTGACATGAAAGGGATGACATGATAATGGAATTAACTATGTATATATTGTGATAAAATATACTTTTACATCATGTATGAAATTCATGAATGGATAAAAGTGATATTTTTGATATTGGGATCAAATTATATTTGGATTGGACAATCAATTGAAAAGAAATGTCAATTTGAATTAAGAACTTGATATGTTCTAAGACAAGCCTACTAGTATTAAAATACTAGTCGGAAGAATAATATAATAGAATTAATCCCAAGGGATAGGATTGTGAATAGATTTTCCTTAAGTAGTCTTAAGAGATACTTTAAGGTTGAATTGAATGAACACTAAGGTGTGTTAGGGGTAAGCCAAAAGGGCTACCCAAGTGAGTTGATTCTAGGCATAGGATTTGCTTGAGAATTGGACTACGAAAATGAATTAGAGTCGGACTCTAGGATTGCATGGAAATGTAGTTGGGCCGAGCCCTTGCCATGTAATGTGATTAGCATGGAAACGTAGTTGGGCCGAGCCCTTGCCATGTATTTGTGACCTTCGTGGAAACGTAGTTGGGCCGAGCCCTGGCCACGAAGTTGTGGTTGGTATGGAACTGTAGTTGGGCCGAGCCCTTGCCATATAATTTTAATGTGTTAAATTGAGTTGAAGGGTTGTATAGAAATGTAGTTGGGCCGAGCCCTTGCTATACAATCGGGACTCGAGGGAACCCTATGGGGTTGGCGTGACTAGTAGTCACGGGGAATTAAAATGGTGAATTCTAAATGCATATGTTCCCACGGGCCGATTACTTGACTTTATATAAAGTAAGTACGTTTTTATAAAGGGGATAACCGAGGGTTATGGCCTATAATATAATATCACCCTAGATTGAGGGTCTTTGAAATTGAAACATTGATTATACTTAGTATAGTTGTCATTGTACTTGTCAAATGTTTCCAAGTACTGACCTCCCCTTCACGGGGGAGGCCACCTCACAGTTTCAGGTAGGAGCTGAGCTTGCTACCATTGTCTGTGGCTTCGGGGAGATACTAGGAGAGGAGACGTGGTTCGTGCTTCCTCCGTTTCTGTTTCAAAACAATTATAACAATGCTCATGGATATATTTTTGGATAATTATTTGGGGGCTTGTATGCCCATGTTTGCCGAAGTGTGGCATAAACTCTTATATTAAATGTTTCCGCTATTTTAAATAAATGTTTTACATTATGTTTGTTTATGGATGTACTATGTGTGAATGGTATTCAAGACGCCTTGTATAGTATGGATGAGTTGGACTGCGGTTGACTATTCGTACTGTACGCCGGGTTGTTGACGTGTCCGACTAGGTCCGGGGCGTGACAATTTAATTGGTATCAGAGACTTAGTCCGTAAACATCATAATGAAGCTTCAAAATTTCTTTTGAAAATGAAATTGAAAACCATGAGCATAAGAAGTTTTGTACTTATAGAACTTTTGGTACTTGAGTTGCAATGTCTCTAATTGTTAAGATGGTACCCTTAACAATTGGTATGGCGGTGATTTGAACAGTACATTTATTCCCTTTTTAATTCATTTTAGAATATCCCAAAAATGACCATATCAATCAAAATTCTTCTATTCCAATTATTCCGTATCATTTTTATTAAGCCCAGACTATAACCGAAAGCTATTCTCATTCATTACTAATTCCAATGTTATTATTATTATTACTACAATTTACTTTAATTCTGAATATTTTATAGCCTAAATTTTCGGCCAGCCCATATAAGGTCTAAAACAAATAGACCAAGTTATTATTATTCTTAATGTTATGATTGACCCAGTAGCTATTATAAAATCCAGCCCAGCATTAATAATTAAGTAAATAACCCGGCCTAAGTTTTATAACCAGCCCAGTGGTATAATACGTAGTACATAGTATAATTTATACGGAGTGAATAGCAGAGTATACGTACTAAGAGATCGTCTTCTTCGTTGTTTCAGCCGCGAAGAACCGGGGAAGAGCTCCGGCCATGGCAGCAGCGGCTCTCCAACGGCGATGGAAATGATCAGACTCCTTGTCCGGTGGACTGCATCCCCTTCTAGCTATCTCCAGCGACGGCGAGTCCGGCTGCTTCTCCCTCCGTCGTTCGGCGGCGAACCAGCAGACGTGGCACCATGGCAGCAATTCCCCGAGACATCCTCTTTCGATATAACACCAGGCCGACATCCCTGATTCACGCGTGAGTCTGGCCACCGTCGTCCCACTCCACGTATTATAAGTGTATAAATGTCCGACGGACTCCGGCGAGCCTGTTCTCCGTCGTTTCACGACCGTTTTGATTGATTCTTCTTCCGTTGGCTACCTCTCACGAAGGAGAAGGTTTCAGAGGTGTTTTAAAGGCTCAAGTTTTAGTATAACGCTGGGTGAGATTTTTTCCTATATATATGTGTGTGTATATATTAATATATACTCCCTCCGTTCCCAAAAATACTTCTCACTTTCCTTTTTGGGTTGTTCCCAAAAATACTTCTCACTTTCCCATTTTGGACAATTTGTGTGGCTCACATTCATTTTACCTTTTTCTTACACAACCACAACCATACATTTCCACTTTATTCTACTTTCTTAATAAGCGTGCCAAGTCAAACCAGGAAGAATTTTTAGGAACGGAGGGAGTATAACGTTTGCAGCTTTTTGGGAATGAAAAAGATGCAGGTCGATGATTCTGGGCTACGTTAGAGTTGGAGTTAAATTCGATCGGTTCCGTTCTTATCTCCGCATCTTTCGTAGGTTAGCGTTTGAGCTTATCCGATGATTGTGTGTTAGACTGTTAGTAGGAGTATGGGCTGTCGAAGGCATTGGCTACGTATTCATATAATGGGCCTTATTGTATTTGATTTGACTTAGGATTCTTAATACTTTAGGAGTTTTGTATGTATGTGTGGTATGTATGTAATGTAAACGTAATACTTCGTAGATCTTTTCCTTTATTATGGGTTTTACTAATATTATTATTACGTATATATATTAGGAGTATATATGTATATATATATTAGTATTAAATAAGTCACAAATGTTAAATTTTTGTCGTGTTCACGTATTTAATAAAATGTTGTTTCTATTATTAAAATATTTTTATCTGACTAAAACGTCGTAAATTTTGAAATTTTATCTGATTAGAATGTCACGACTGTTGAATTTTTGTTTGACTCACTTAATAATTAAAATGTCATTTCCGTAACATTTTATCTCACTAAAAAAAATTATTTTTATTTTTATTTAAATTTTTGGAGTGTCACATGCTGGGTGTGGCTTCCTTGGTCTCGGGCCCTGACCGAGGGCGCATTCAGGGCCGGCGTGTTGTTTGTCTTCTTCAAGGGCTGGCCTCCGTCCTTCTTGAAGGAGTGGAGGTCATCGGCGTCGGCGTATAGGCTCCCCCGCTGGATTGCTTTGAGGTATGATCTTGGGGGGTCGGTGATGAGGCTCAGTGCGTAGGGGCTGATGCGAAGACCCCCCTGGAAGAGGACGAGGAGGGTACGCTTGTCGGCGCCCTCGACCTCATTTGTCTCCTTCATCCACCGGTCAATGAAGGACCGAAGTGTTTCGTTAGGCTGTTGCTTGACGGAGAGGAGGTGGGAGAAGTGCTTTTTCGCGCGCTTCCTTCCGGCGAAATGGGTGAGGAAGCGTTGGGCAAGATCTTGCCATGAGTCTATGCTCCCCTCGGGCAACGCGTTGAACCATTCGTACGTCGGTCCCTCGAGAGTGGAGAGGAACCAACGGCATAAATATTCGTCAGATGCATTGACCATCAGCATGTTGTTTTGATATCGGTTGAAATGTTCCTGGGGGTCGGTGCGGCCGTCATACGGCTTCATAGTGCTTCCCCGGTATTTCTCGGGTATTGGGGCCGAGAGCACCCTGGTGGTGAAGGGGGTCTTGGTCCTGACCTGGATGATGGGGTCACCGCGCTCCTCAACGAATTCTCTCTCCAGAGCACTGAGTTTGTTCATGAGGGCGTCAAAGCCGGGATTCCCCGATGAGTTGGCCGTAGGAATGACACCTTGGGCCTGGTTACGAGCCGCATTGATGTGGTGGCGTGCGTCCTCCTCGTGTAGCTTGCCTTTGCCTTTGTGAAGACGGGGCCGATCCGTTGTCCGGGATACGGACCCAAAGCTCTCCCTCGATGAGACAGGCTCACGTTGACCCATCCTTCCAGCCAGCCTCTCCGATGCTGGCCGACGGTCCGCATCCCCTAACCTATTGAAGGCTGAAGGTCTACGCACTGGGGCCGGTCCTGTTAGTCCCAGAATTCTTAACAATCATACAACCATAACAGTGATAAAGAAGCAGATAGAAAGAAATCGACAAGATTGAACGCGAATCTGATATACCGTATGAATCTGCCGCTACTCTCCCTGGAGAAGGAGAGCAGCGGCAACCTAATTTCTCTCTATCTCTACGCCTCTGCGTCTCTAAGCCTCTCTCTATAGTTTAGGTTCCCGTAAGTTAGCCTCCTTTTATAGGAGAAGTTGGCTAACTTACGGGTTACAAGGAAGCCCACGGGCTGATACACATTTGTGGCCCGTATTACACGATTAATTAATAACTACACAAATACAAAGATAACTAACTAGATTGAACACCATAAAATATTCCCAACAATCTCCCCCTTGGTGATCAATCGTGTTGAATCAACATTGCAGCGCATATATCTTTGTCTTTGTTGTTATTGAGCTTCCTTTGTCTATGAACATGACTTCTGAGGAAGGCTATCTGAAGAAATCCTTGCAATCTCCCCTTTGATGTCTTCTTGACAATTTGATCTTTGATGCCGGGGGTTGAGGGACCTTCAGTATCTTGCATGTAGTCCTTGCCTTCCAGAAGTTGCTCTTGATCAGCTTGGATGAAGTCCGGTGACGCCTCTAGAATGAATATTCTTTGGAGAATAGGAGACGCCCATGGAATTCATCTTCAGGACACGAGTATTTGACCTCTGTCTCCTCCACAATGTAGTCTTTTTGACTATTTGGAATGAATGCATTTGAGGAGAACTTGTCGGTGGCACAGCGGAACATAATGATGGTTGATTTGTGAGTGTAGCTGACCATTTGATTTGAGTTGCGGAGATAGTAGAGAGGGTGTTGAATTTTGTGATGGAGGAGTAAAGTGTCCCAGAATGATTTGTTCAGTGTTAACAGCATGTGGACCACTCTCCCCCTCATGACGATCCGATGAATCGGGACGTCATGCTTTTATTCTTTTATTCTGCGGAAATAAAAACATGAAAAACAAGCAGAATCTAAAAAAGATAACGTAGCCCCCCGGGGTCGTGAAGACGCCCGTTATCATCACTATAGAGATAAACTCTAAAGCAATGGCCTGAAAATGTTGGTGATTCTTATGTTGCAACAGCAGGACTTCCTTCCAATCATTGGTCTTCATCTGTAATAGATGAGCCCTATGGAAGTTCTCGCAAGTCTTGAAGACTAGCAACTGACTCTAAAATGTGTCTGTGTCCTAGAAAATTTCAAAACATTTGGGAAGTGAGTAACTAGACACGACGTGATCAATGAAAGTTCAGTGGCATGGGGCTGAGGCCACTGTAGTCAGTATTACTTGCCTCGGAAGGAGACAGTAATGAGAGATGCGGTTCCCCGTGAACTATGATTAAACACCTGTCTGTTGGGAGACAAGTGAGTGGTCTAGGGTAGGGTTGTGCATGCGCCGTTTGGACAAAATGCAGCGACTTCTACCCGGGATCTGAATAAATTCAGTCCTGAACCTATGGGGATAGTCCAGAGTATTTTAGTGGCTAGGAGCAAATGTTCAATTCATAGCAGGCAATTGAGGTAGCAGACTTATCATTGATAATTGTTTGTCTTCTCACTTGAGCCTTCTGCTTCCTAATGCTCATAATGTTCACTCACTCACTCGCTCACTCACGCACTTACGCTCGGCTTTGTCCCTTGGGTAGGCTTAGTTGGGTTTACTAAGCCATAGGGACATGTTCTCTCATTACTTTCTCATTTTCTCTCTGTACTCCCCCTCAACTGGAGCACTCGGTATGCTTTGTCATTGTTAGACACCGGGGAGGATTACTTTGAACACTCCCCCTAGAATGTTGCATCCGATGAGAGATACCTTGCTTTGTCGGTGTAAGGCGCCAGGAGGAGAAAACTGACACTCCCCTCAGAATGTGCAAGGTTTCCCTGAGCTCACCATGTAGAATTTCAGCATATTGATGAACACATAATGTTGATGAGTCAGGGGAGGCTTCAGCGGTTGATTGTTGATTGTTGTAAGATGACCGTTGACGCGAGGTTGATTGAATTATCTACGATTTTCAGACCTTTACATTGAAGTTTTAGAAAAGCTTTGACCTCAGGGTTGACATTGAAAGAATTTGAACAGATTTGCCTAAGTTTTGACCTGGACATCGGTGATTTACAATGTTTGTCGGAAAACTAACGTTTTGACCCTCAAAGAATTAATGTAGATCTTCTCGTTAGCTTTCCAACAAAAAAAAGTTTGCTCAAATTGGATCACCGAGTCAAAAGTTATGGCCAAAACAGTGCGGTGTCGCAGAAAATCTCTAATTTTGAGTTTTTGAGGAATTTCTTCGAAGATGAGGTGCTCGATGTTGAATGTCGAGAGAAGGTGGATTTTAAACAAAATTCTAGAGATTGCCTCGAAGAATAATGGCCAAATCCACCTGCAAAACAAACCTCAGAATATCGAAATCTGCAGAATTTCAAAATGTTTGAACATCGAAAACTTTGGAGTTTCGAAAACCTCATAATCTCGAAAACTTGTTGTTTGAAAAACATCAGAACATCGAAAACTCATGAAACATATATAAGCAGGGAATCATTTAGAGATCCTTATAATGTAAAGTTTCGATGAACTGCAAAGGATGTCAAGATTCGAATTATGAGTTCCAAGAAACTGCAAACTTTGAAAGATTCAAAACATCGAGAAATTTTGAAAATCTCGAAATCTTCAGAATGTCGAGATCCAAAACATCGAGATCCCAAATGTCGAAATCCCAAAACTCGAAATTCCTAAACTCGAAATTTCAAATCTCGAGATCACAAATCTCGAGATCTTCATTTCGAGATTCAAATCTCGAGATCTTGATTTCAAGATTCAAATCTCGAGATCATGATTTCGAGATTCAAATCTCGAGATCTTGATTTCGAGATTCAAATCTCGAGATCAAGATGTCGAGATGCAAATCTCGAAATCAAGATTTCGAGATTCAAATCTCGAGATCAAGATGTCGAGATGCAAATCTCGAGATCAAGATGTCGAGATGCAAATCTCGAGATCAAGATGTCGAGATGCAAATCTCGAGATCAAGATGTCGAGAAGAAGAAATCGAGTCCCTAAATGTCGAGATCCTGCAAAACGAAAACATTGATTTTTGAAAATCTGAAACCTGTTCTGAATAGCCCTGAAAGTCGAGATTCTCCTGTATCAGTTTCAAGCCAAAAACGTTTCTGCAGCAGTGAAAAATAAGGATTTCGAGATCTCAATGTAGAGATCTTCGAAATATAAAAATTGCAGAAAACGAAAGAAGAGGTATGCTGCTGGATCGGTTTTGAAAGGCGAATCCAACAGTATGATTTTTACAAAATTTCGTTCACAAACGAGATTACAGGAGCAAATCTCTACATGTAGAAAAACAGAAGAAAAAACAGAGTAGTTCTTCGTTAGATCCAAAAAATCGCAGACAGATCCAACCTGTTTCACGCCTCGGCTCTGATACCAAATGTTAGTCCCAGAATTCTTAACAATCATACAACCATAACAGTGATAAAGAAGCAGATAGAAAGAAATCGACAAGATTGAACGCGAATCTGATATACCGTATGAATCTGCCGCTACTCTCCCTGGAGAAGGAGAGCAGCGGCAACCTAATTTCTCTCTATCTCTACGCCTCTGCGTCTCTAAGCCTCTCTCTATAGTTTAGGTTCCCGTAAGTTAGCCTCCTTTTATAGGAGAAGTTGGCTAACTTACGGGTTACAAGGAAGCCCACGGGCTGATACACATTTGTGGCCCGTATTACACGATTAATTAATAACTACACAAATACAAAGATAACTAACTAGATTGAACACCATAAAATATTCCCAACAGGTCCAGCTCGGGAGGGGAAGCAGGATCGGAGCGGGAGGCCGTGTCCTGAGCACTGAACCCCTCATCGTTGCGTACATTCATGACCAACGAATGAGGAGGGGGCGGAGAGAAAGGGACGATGTTCCCCTCGATCAGAGTTCCGAAGGCTCCAGGATTCTGGGTGAGCGTGTGGATGAAGGCAGATAGGACCGATTGCATATCGATGGTGAGGACCGGGGGGCTCACATGAATCTCACCCCGATCTTTGCTTTGGGCCTCGATGTCGAGGAAGGCATCGAGAACGTTCTCTTGGAGCTGAAGGGGCATGTCTGCAGTGGCCTGCACTATTTCGGCGAGGGCTCCGCCTTCGGGAGCTTTGTTGGAGACCTCGGCAGTGTCAATTCCGAAGGCTTTGTTGGAGCTTTCGGCCTTGAATTGGGCACGAGTCGCTCTTCCCATTTTGATGAGTGTTTTTGTTTTTCCAAAGGGGAGGGTTTCTTACTTAATTATTCGACCTCTCAACGAGAGCACCAAATGATGGATAGTGTACCCGGGGGGTAGCTTATCCGAGGGGTTGTTACAGTGAATAACCTAGAGAGAAGTCAGAGCAAGTAAGTAAGAGAGAGAGTCAAATGTATTAAATGAACTCGTTCCCCTTTACAAGCTGAATAAGGGCTGCTATTTATAGCAGCTATAAATGCGATGAGAGTACACGTGTCAACAATCTAACGGCCGAGGGGTCACCTCAATCAGGGTGGCAGCGACATATGCATGTGAACCGCATTAAATGCGGTAAGTGGATGTGACGCCGTATTAAATGCGGTGGTTGGCTGTCTCTAAAAGGAATCTTCATCGATAGTTCTGTTGCCGAAGGCATCGTGTGGCCGAAGGCATTGTGTGGCCGAAGGCATCATGTGACCGAAGGCATCGGGGGGCGAAGGCATCGAGTGGACGAAGGCATTGTGTGGCCGAAGGCATCGGGTGGCCGAAGGCATTGTGTGGCCGAAGGTATCATGTGGCCGAAGGTATCGGGAGGCCGAAGGCATCGGGTGGCCGAAGGCATCGGGTGGCCGAAGGCATCGGGTGGCCGAATGCTAACATTTTAGCCAGGATTTTCGAGAAGCTTTGCAGGACCATATTAAGATGTCTCCCAGAATTTGGAGCCCTCGACCATAGGGCCGAAGGCATCCACGTGTGCAGCGTGGGCTTCTTCATGCTTGGACCGCTACGTTTGGGCTTTGTGTGCTCATCGAGCTTGATGGGCCTGTGTAGAAGAAGCAGGAGTCTGTGGGCCGGGGTGTCCCGGGCCATATACTCCATCAATAATCATTACCTGAAAAATATCCACAGAGAAATGTAAAAACAAAAAGAAAATAAAATTAGCTTTCGCTAGGTAAGATTCCACCCAACCCTGTAAAATAATATTTTTTGGGGAAAAATATATATTTTGAATATATACAAACTATAGATTGAAATATTATAAATTTAAATATTATAATTCAAGTAATTGTCATAACAAAAAATAGAGCATTCAAAAATAAATTCAAATGTCTTACAACATATATGCACAGTTGAAAAATAATATATAATGAATAGAAATTGTAGATTTGGTTTTTCTCCGAAAATCCTAAAGTTTCTTTTAAAGATGCGCGAAACTCAAGATTCCTTGAGCCCAATGAGTTGTTGTTATTTACAACTCATTCCGGAATTCCGGCTCCCACTGACCCACCTGTTGGAAGCTGAACTTCTACTTTAAGTGTGCACAACCTCTGAAAGGGATTCCAAGCCCTCCGGGTATTAAGAAGTCCAAGTAGCTCGGGTAGTTTATACCAGCTACTCCTCAAATGGATATACACCCTAAGTGACTAGAAAACTACCGTTGCGACCACCACAGGACTTTTAAAGCCCTCACAAAAATATAATATCGAATCCTCAATAGTACCGAATCCACCAAAAATCAGTAGTAGCCCCTAACCACCCCTCTTCACAATTAACGATCGTGAAGGAGACCGACACCTTTAATATTGAAAAATAATTTTTATCTTTAATACTTTTCAATGTCTAATATCTATTATAGATAAAATTCCAACCTTCCAAAAATAAGGATATCTTATCCTTAAAGCCTGATTTCTCAAAATAGCTCAAAATATGACATAATATACGTAAATAGCTCAAATTACTCACGGTCGGACGTGTTGGGAATATTTTATGGTGTTCAATCTAGTTAGTTATCTTTGTATTTGTGTAGTTATCAATTAAACGTGTAATACGGGCCACAAATGTGTATCAGCCAGTGGGCTTCCTTGTAACCCGTAAGTTAGCCAACTTCTCCTATAAAAGGAGGCTAACTTACGGGAACCCTAACAGATCGATAGAGGCTTAGAGACGCAGAGGCGTAAAGATAGAGAGAGTAGGGTTGCCACTGCTCTCCTTCTCCAGGGAGAGCAGCGGCCGGTTTTCATACGATATACCAGATTCGCGTTTAATCTTCGACATATCTTTCTATCTGCTTCTTTATCACTGCTATAGATTGTATGATTGTTAGTATTCTGGGATTAACATTTGGTATCAGAGCTGAGGCGTGAAACAGGTTGGATTTGTCTGCGATTTTTTGGATCTAACGAAGAACTGCTCTGTTTTTCTTCTGTTTTTCTATATGTAGAGATTTGCTCCTGTAATCTCGTTTGTGAACGAAATTTTGTAAAAATCATACTGTTGGACTCGCCTTTCAAAACCGATCCAACATCATACCTCTTTTTTCGTTTTCTGCAATTTTTATATTTCGAAGATCTCTACATTGAGATCTCGAAATCCTTATTTTTCACTGCTGCAGAAACGTTTTTGGCTTGAAACTGATACAGGAGAATCTCGACTTTCAGGGCTATTCAGAACATGTTTCAGATTTTCAAAAATCAATGTTTTCGTTTTGCAGGATCTCGACATTTAGGGACTCGATTTCCTCTTCTCGACTCTTGAGATCTCGAGATTTGCATCTCGACATCTTGATCTCGAGATTTGCATCTCGACCTCTTGATCTCGAGATTTGCATCTCGACATCTTGATCTCGAGATTTGCATCTCGACATCTTGATCTCGAGATTTGCATCTCGACATCTTGATCTCGAGATTTGAATCTCGACATCTTGATCTCGAGATTTGAATCTCGAAATCAAGATCTCGAGATTTGAATCTCGACATCTTGATCTCGAGATTTGAATCTCGAAATCAAGATCTCGAGATTTGAATCTCGAAATCAAGATCTCGAGATTTGAATCTCGAAATCAAGATCTCGAGATTTGTAATCTCGAAATCAAGATCTCGAGATTTGTAATCTCGAGTTTTGGAATTTCGAGTTTAGGGATTTCGAGTTTTGGGATTTCGACATTTGGGATCTCGATGTTTTGGATCTCGACATTCTGAAGATTTCGAGATTTTCAAAATTTCTCGATGTTTTTGAATCTTTCAAAGTTTGCAGTTTCTTGGAACTCATAATTCGAATCTTGACATCCTTTGCAGTTCATCGAAGCTTTACATTATAAGGATCTCTGAATGATTCCCTGCTTATATAAATGTTTCAGGAGTTTTCGATGTTCTGATGTTTTTCAAACAGCAAGTTTTCGAGATTATGAGGTTTTCGAAACTCCAAAGTTTTCGATGTTCAAACATTTTGAAATTCTGCAGATTTCGATATTCTGAGGTTTGTTTTGTAGGTGGATTTCGCCATTATTCTTCGAGGCAACCTCGAGATTTGGATTTCGAAGTATTGCCTTAGAATTTTGTTTAAAATCCACTTGCTCTCGATATTCATCCTTGAGAACCTCAACTTCGAAGAAATTCCTCAAAAACTCAAAATTAGAGATTTTCTGCGACACCGCACTGTTTTGACCATAACTTTTGACTCGGTGATCCGATTTGAGAAAACGTTTTTTTGTTGGAAAGCTAACGAAAAGATCTACATTAATTCTGGGCTAGGCCCCAGAACCCTTTCTCACGTGCCCTCACTCGCAGTCTTTGAGGGTCAAAACGTTAGTTTTCCGACAAACATTGTAAATCACCGGTGTCCAGGTCAAAACTTAGGCAAATCTGTTCAAATTCTTTCAATGTCAACCCTGAGGTCAAAGCCTTTCTAAACTTCAATGTAAAGGTCTGAAAATCGTAGATAATTCAATCAACCTCGCGTCAACGGTCATCTTACAACAATCAACAATCAACTGTTGAAGTCTCCCCTGACTCATCAACATTATGTGATCATCAATATGCTGAAATTCTACATGATGAGCTTAGGGAAACCGTCATGTGTGGTACTTGTTCATATTGCTCCACACACATGGCGGGTATGACAAGCTGTGAGCAATCAAACCTTGCACATTCTGAGGGGGAGTTTCAGTTTTCTCCTCCTGGCGCCTTACACCGACAAAGCAAGGAATCTCTCAACGGATGCAACATTCTAGGGGGAGTGTTCAAAGTAATCCTCCCCGGTGCCTAACAATGACAAAGCATACCGAGTGCTCCAGTTGAGGGGGAGTACAGAGAGAAAATGAAGAAAGTAATGAGAGAACATGTCCCTATGGCTTAGTAAACCCAACTAAGCCTACCCAAGGGACAAAGCCGAGCGTAAGTGCGTAAGTGAGCGAGTGAGTGAGTGAACATTATGAGCATTAGGAAGCAGAAGGCTCAAGTTAGAAGAAAAACAATTATCAATGATGAGTCTGCTACCTCAATTGCCTGCTATGAATTGAACATTTGCTCCTAGCCACTAAAATACTCTGGACAATTCCCAAATAGGTTCAGGACTGATTTAATCAGATCCCGGGTAGAAGTCACTGCATCTTGTCCAACAGTGCATGCTGAACCCTATCCAAGACCACTCACTTGTCTCCCAACAGACAGGTGTTTAATCATACTTCACGGGGAACCGCATCTCTCATTACTGTCTCCTTCCGAGGCAAGTAATACTGACTACAGTGGCCTCAGCCCCATGCCACTGAACTTTCATTGATCACGTCGTGTCTAGTTAC